TCACTTCTCACAGTCACAATGTGATTCCTCTCAGCCATATACATATGTATATGAGCGCAGATAGTCAAATCCCAAGTCCGAATCACCAAGCATACATGCAATCACATCAAAGATTCAACCAGAAAAGTTCAAGCACTACACGGGTCAACTTCAACCATTCTCTGCCCTCACACCCCTTGCTTTAGCCATACAAACCTCAACCTTAGCGCACCTTCCCAGCAATAAAATACTCAGTAACTTTGTTAAATGACCATTCAATAAAGTCCGGGTAAAAACACAACAAAACAGACAAAACCACAGGGCTTAAACCTTTAGGTTAAGTGGCAGGAGTGAATTGGAGTCGAGTCGTAAGCCGACGAATCGGCAACCGACCTGTTATCAGTGATAACAAAAGATGATCCTCAAGGGATCATGCTGAATCTAGTCCTGAACTTGAATCAAACAATCAAGAGGGTCTGTAACACATGACAGGTCAATGCCCCAGGCTAACCCTATAAGTACATGGAGAACAATCTCCATATCATGATCTTACCCAAGTCGACCGACGACGGGCCGCGTTTCGGACCTCAGCCCCCCCAAGATGTCGGTTCGCTTGCGGGTTCGATAGAGGCGTACTGCCGCGCATACCCCCTATGCTACAGCGAACGAGAAAAACCCTCGGCTGGTTCACCTGTGCGATTGCAACTGATCAGCTTTCGTACTGTGGACTGGTAGCTCGGCGGGGATACGCCCACCGAAGGGAGGTGACAGCTCTCGTAAGGTGGAGGTAAGTCGTGCCTCGCGTAGGCCCTATCCTGTCGTAGGAGCTCGCGAGAGGTATGGCTAGCGCACTCGGCCGGAGCGGCTTGCGAAGACTCCATGAATATTTTGCGACGAACGATTTAAACCAACTTCTGCGTGACCCGGCCGGGAGGGTCCCGCGCTGCCTTGCGCGGTGCCGGACCGATGCGCTCGACACCGTGATACAGTCTCAAAAGGAATACCATGAAGATTATCTTTAATTCTCATAATCGGGTTAAGTGTCAGAGTTTATCCTAGGTCTAGTTGTACTTTGTTTTTCATACTTGACTTAGTAAAAATTTTGGGAGCTCATTTTCCTAAAGGAAGTGCTGCCAAATTGTTTACAAATTCAAAGAGTTTGTTAAGTTTTGTTTTTGTAAAGTAGGGTTGTAGTCTGATTTCATTTCCAACTTAGTAAGAATTTGGGAAGTTCACTTTCTTAGACGAAACGTTGCCGAATGTTTTGCTAATTCAAGAAGTTAGACAAGATCTGTCTTTGCAAACGTTTAGACACACTTTGACTTTCATTCTAGTTTAATTTAGTGCAAATTAATTTGGGGAGTTCACTTTCTTAGAGGAAACGCTGCTGAATGTTTTGCTGGTTCAAGTAATTAGACAAAATTTGTCTTTGCAAAAGTTTAGACACACTTGGACTTTCATTTAGTTTAGTAAATTTTTTGTAGTCCACTTTTTTAAGGAAGTGTAGTCGAAGTTTTTACAAATTTAGAGAGTTTTTTTTTTTTTTTTTTTTTCTTAAACAACTCATAGAAGTACTAGGGGTACTAGTACTATCGAAGAGGCTTCATCTATTGGTGGGGAGCGTCACCTWCTGGAAACCGGGTCCATCGTCCCTTTTAAAAAAAAAAAAAAATTGTAATTACATATTCGGAAGTCAGATCCCACTATACATCATTAGGTCTGCCAGCATTGTTTGTCATATTTTCATAGGATTGACTGCACAGGGTTACTACTAGATATGTTGAAATGAAGTACGCTTTGGGCCTCTTCTGTATGCTCGGCCCTTGCTCCTCAATCTGCTTCATACCATTGTATGTCTACCATTGCTAACTGGTGAGGCGGGAAGGGATCGAGAAATTTTGTGGATGGTCGCAGCGGGATCTCCTGACCAACCAATATCCAGTCTTTGAAGAAAATACGGTATTTTGTTTTGAACTCTTCCCATTGGCATTCCTAGGTAGGCCTGCCGTTTCAACTTACGGAGGTATTTCAGCCCCCGTTGTCACTGTCCAACCAATCCCTTGAGAATTGTTGAATTGCTTGCATTATATCTTTGGATGAATAAAACAAATTCAATTTGTTTTCAACTTTTTGTCACTGTACTGTTAGTTTTTGTTAAACATATTGTTTTATCATATATGTGGCCTCTCTCTCCGCTGTCGGCGCGAATACCCTTATAAGGGTATTCGACCTGGTTTTTGCAGGTGATAAGAAAGGTTGGGGTTTGGTCAGAATAAACTGCGTGGGGCGCGACCGCATCCAGGAACCGCCTCGGCTAAGTTAGGAAGTATGTGGGCCTGCAGTTTAAGGCGCGAGTGTGATTTTTCTGATTGAGTAGACGGCCGGTCTACTCGACCGACCTGGACCGCGTTACGGATCGGATTAAGGAATAAAAGTCTGGGGTTTGGTTGGCACACACGACCAACGGTAAGGGTTGTCGCACGGGGTGGCGCGCGAGGGCCACCATGGCGCGGTCTAAGTAAGCCTGCACGGGTGCCTAGTGTTGGCACGTCAGCTGCAGGCAGGAGAGAGGGGGCTCGGGCTATTCCTCCTAGGCCTAGGTATTGCGTGGCACCACTTCATATCGAAGTGGGCGCCCAGTTGTTCCAAGCTTGGGCTTAGCCCCATAGGTTACCGTGTTGGACTACTGTCATGGAGGTATGGGGATTGAGGCTAGCGGGCGTCGGTGTAGGAGCGGCGGAATGAAGGCGAGACTGAGGGGTTGAGGGTCCCGCGGGACTATCCCTCTTACTTTTTGTTGGGGGAGTACAGTCCCGGGCCCGTTTGTAAGAGCTAAGGGGACCGTAGGTAGGTCCCGCTGCCTGTCTCCGGTAGACCCCTCAGTATCGTTTTGGGTTTCTGTCTCCTTTTATTATTTTTTTTGTGGACCCGATTTGGGCCCCGACACCGGGTCCGAGCGCGGCTGTTTGACCGTGGGTCTAGCTCAGGGCATTACCCACGAGTTGTCAAAGTACAGGCCAAGTGGCCTTTGGCCTCTTCGTGGGGCACTGCCCGGGTGGTCCTTCGGGACATCCGCTGATATTGGAACGATACAGAGAAGACCAGCCTGTGCCCCTGCGTGCGGATGATATGCATAAAGTGGGGGGGAGAGGGTCCCGCGCTGCCACGTGTGGTGCCAGACCGATGCGCTCGACAGGTGGCGCCGTTGCCGGGGATAACGGAAGCCTACCGTTGTTCCTGGTGGAACGACATCCGGGTATGGGAATGAGGGAGGATTAGGCACATGGGTAGATAAGGGTAGAACTATGAGATGGATCGTATAGTAATCTATATGGCTGTGTGTAAGTGAATGTTGATTTGATTGGCGGTTTGGCTGATGGCATGGACGAGGCGAATATATGAGCAAATTTTATGGTAAGGATGGACCTTACCTAGGTGAGCCTAAGGGAGATAGAAAACGAAATGTCTGTCAGATCTAGGGTATCCGACTGGCTGGATCTGACGGAGCAAGCACTGGTAGGGCTGTCGGATGAGGTCAAGCTCCAGCGAGTCCTAAGATATGTCCTTCATAGCCATCATCAGGTGGTGGGCAAGTGGATGTCGCCAATGGTAGTTGGGCGAGGTTCAGAGACTTGATGCAGAGAAAGTACAGGTTGGGGGATGGCTTGCTGACCACAGCGGACTTGGAGGCCATGAACAAAGATGACTTCTCCACGATCGGGGCGTTTGTGCACGAGTTCAAAAGGAAGGCGAGGAAGGTGCACGGGATTTCTGAAGAAACGCAGTGCGCCATATTTTTGGGTCTGCTTACTGGCTCGGAGGCCTCGGAGGTGACGGGTCACGGAGGGGGAAATGAGAAACTCACCTGGGCCACTATCGACAAAGGGGTGGAAGAGGGGAGCCTGGACCAGGTGGAGCAGCACCAGGTGCGGCTGCAAAGGCGTAAGAGAAAAGAAAGGGACGCCACCACATCCGGGACCCCGGGGGTGAAGAGGATCGTCACGGACGTATTGGCAGCGTTGGGGTATGATAATGAGGCGGAAGTGCAAAAGAGAGGGGTGACTGTGACCAAGGTCGGGCATCAGGGGCAGGGGAGGAAGAGGCTAGGCGCGAGGACTACGGCGGAGAAGAGACGGGCTCCCAAATCCTGACCAAGGCCCAGAGGAAGCAGCGGAATTTACTAGTGGGGGGTCAAGGATCAGGGAAAGGGCAGGCCCTGCAAGCGGTCGCCGCGCCACCACCTGCCGCCACGACAACGTCAACGTCGGTCGGGCCGTCATGCATGGGGCCGCAGCCGGCTTGTGGGCATTGGATGCCGCATTGTCAACTCGCGCCCTGGCCCAGCTGTAATCACTGTACCTCCTGTGGAGGGAGTCAGACCCATTCTGGACAGATGGTCCCCTATGCGGGCACGGCGGCAAGTATGGGGCCCCCAAGCTACCCCGCGACCCAAGGTCAATTTGTGGCCCAACCGCCACCCTCCCGACAGGCCTCGCAGGCTAGCATGGTCGGGGGAGGAAACCAAGGACAAGGCGGGCAAGGCAATGGAGGTCGAGGTCAAGGGCCGAAGAGGAAATGGTGGGGGTCGCGGAGGTGGTTGGAATGGTCAGGGGGGCCAGAGCCAAGGTGGCCGGAGCGGCCAGGAGAAGGGCCAAGGGTATGGGAGGCCCAGTTTTGATTGGCGGAATGCCACCTGTTGGCATTGTGGCGATGTGGGCCACACTATGCGGTTCTGCCAACGGCGGCGGGATTATGAGTTGTCAGGGTTAATTTCCTCCTGTATGGACGGGGATATATATGATAAGTGGGGGGATCATATCGATCCCACGACCCCGGGAGGGATCAGACAAGAGGCTCTTAGGCGAGCGGCGGCAGGGTCAGCGGCAACCCCGGCCATGTTCAAGATGTGGCAGAAAAGAGAAGAGTTGGCCATAAGAGTTGAGGAGATTGTGGGGGATAGTGAGGAGGTCACTGAGCGACTAAGGAACTATAAGGGAGGAGCCAATAGTCGTCGCGTCGGATGACGAGGGGCAGGAAGACGAAGGAGAGCCGGCCATGGTCCTCCTGGGGAGGATGGAAGATCTGCTGGAAAAAGTGGGAAGATACCAGCGGAAGCTGCAGATCCTGTGTGAAGAAGCCCGAGGGTGGGAGGCCAACCTGCCTGAGGTCTTCCTTTACGACTCCGGACCTGAGCCTTCGCCAGGTCAGCAGGGGTGCCCAAGAGTTGCGACCGTGGGGACAGGCCCCAGGTCGGGTATGACCTATAGACCCCCCACGTCGCATGGGAGGGTGCCACAGGCGGCTCGGACCAGGAGCCAAAACAAGGTCGGGCCTAGCCAAGAGCCCTGTCAGGAGCCCAGTCAGGCGCGCAGTCAGGCACCCCCTCGAAAGGAGCCTGAGCCAGGGCGTAGGAGGGAGGTGGTGGAGGTCCCGAAGGAAGAGGATGAGGATGACGACGAAGAGGATGAGAGGCTCCGACAAGAGGAGGATCAGCGGGTGGAGATGAGGGCAAAAAAGAGAGGAGCCCGGGAGGAGGCCGAGCCAAGCCTGCCTGACAGCGTGCCTAAGAGGAAGAAGTACGTTGTCCGGATGGAGGAAGGCTTCGATGTAGAGCGAATGGTGGACAAGCTCCTGGAAGGCCACAATGACTTGATGAACCTAAAGGACATCCTAGCGTCGGCGCCAAAGCTCAGTGGTGAGCTGAAGGGGCGACTCTCGCGAAGGCTGGTGCCTAATGTCCATCTGAGTACGGTCCTGCCCAGGGAGGTAGAATGGACTGAGGCAGGAACAAGGATGGATTGGAAATGTGTGGCGTGCGGGCCGGTGGATCTGGTGATAAAAAACCAGAAGTGCACTTGGATGGTGGACACGGGCGCAGAAATGAACATCATCAGGGAGAAGGAGGCGGTGATGATGGGGATGGAGATTGACCGTTCGGATCACGGTATGCAGCACGGCGCCAACTGTAAGGCCGCTTTTTGCGGCACGGCGTCCAACGTGATCATAGAGATCGGGAAGGTGCGGGCGAGGACCTGTTTTTTCGTTATGCCCGATGTCGATTATTCCATCCTTCTGGGGCGGTCGTTCCTGTGCCGAACGGAAACGTTGATTTTTAATAAGCACGACAGGACAATGATCCTGCTCCTATGCGATCCAACGTGCGGGAACTACGAAGTTATCACCTGCCGAAACATGGGGCCGAGAAGCGGAAGGAACAGGCCTAACCTCGGCTCGTTCACCTTCGAGGAATCGGAGAACGAGCTAAGACGGCTTTGGGAAGTGCCCGAGGAGGAAGATAGGACTGAGGTGCTGACATTGAGCCTCACAGACGTAAACAAGGCCATGGAGGTGGTGGCGGCTCACGACATGGCGGATCCGGAGGCCATTAAGGCATTGAGGGAACAGGTTTTGGAAAACCCTCAGGTGGGAGAGGTGGAATTGGTGTATCAGCTTCCGGGAGGGAGGGGAGACCCTGCAATGGCCCAGGCCCGGGCGACAAGTCGGCCTTTTTTAAGGGAGGGCTTAAACAGGGCTCCCAAAGGCGGTACAAGACCGTAGATAAGAAGTGTCGCTCAGTTTCCGTGCTCGTCACAGAGGATGAGGAAGCCTACTACGAGCGGGAGAGAGGATTGATACGGCGTATGCGGGAGCACGCGTTGGCCGGGTCGTGTCGTATCAACGACGAGAATGAGGGGAAGCTGATAATTGGGGAGCCCGACTTCCTGTCGCCCCAGGAGAGAGCATTGATGGTGGGGCTGATGAAGAAAAGGCACCTCGCGTATGCGTTCAATGACGACAAGCGTGGGAGGCTGGATGTGGACAAGATCCCGATGATCCGGATCCACACAGTCCCACACGAGCCATGGAATCTAAGGGGCGCACGGTACCCCAATCCGTACGAAGAGAAGATGGTGGTGGACTACTTGGATGGCAAAATGCGCACGCACGTCGCCGATTACTCCAGCGGACCGTATGCGTCGCCCTAGTTCTGCTTTATCAAGCCGAATGGGATGTTGCGATGGGTGCAGGACTTACAACGGTCAAATGTCGTGACAGTGCAGGATGCGGGGGGGTTGCCGAATGCGGACGCATTGTCAGAATCGTGCGCAGGGAGGCCTATAATCTCGCTTATAGACCTCTACTCTGGGTACGACCAATTCCCCGATTACCCGCCAGACAGGCCCGTAACGGCGATGCACACACCCAGAGGGCTGATTCATATGAACGTGGCGCCTCAAGGTTGGACGAATGCAGTGGCGATGGTACAAAGACACATGATTAGAGTCATGCAGACGGTTAGTCCACATATCACCCAGCCCTACATCGATGACCTGGCGGTCAAAGGTCCAAAGGAGAAGAAGGAAAACGAAGTGATGCCTGGAGTGAGGCGCTTCGTTTGGAAGCATGTCCAGGTCATCGATCAGGTTCTGAGTTTATTGGAGTAACACAACCTGACGGCAAGCGGCCCCAAGTCGAAACATTTTATGAGGGAGGCCATGATTTTAGGCTTTGTCTGTAATGAGAGTGGGCGAAGGCCGGATGTAAAGAAGACGGACAAAATCATTGAGTGGTCAGTGCCCTTCCGTTCGATAACAGATGTGAGGAGCTTCCTTGGGACATGCGGGTTTTGGAGGAGCTTCGTGAAGGACTTTGCCACGAAGACGGAGCATTTAAGGAAGTTGGTGCGTCAAGATCAGGAATGGGTCTGGGGCGAAGACCAGGAAGAGGCGGTCGGTAGGATGAATGGAGAGTTTAAGGAAAGGGGCTTGGTATTGGGAGCGCCGAATTATAAGGCCATGGAGGAAAGACCATTCGTTATCGAGACGGACGCTGGGCCAACTGCCTTGGGGGGAGTCCTGATTCAGGCAGATACTGAAGGGAAGGAGAGGCTGCTAAGGTTTGAAAGTCGTACCCTCAATACAACTGAGAGGAACTACTCTCAGTTCAAGAAGGAGACGCTGGCGGTACTTCACTGCCTAAGGACCTTCCGGAACTATGTTTTCGGCAGGAGGCTCATCTTGAGGGTGGACCCTACTGCACTGGCATGTTCCCTGAAGAATTGTACTCCATCTGACACAACCGTCGCAAGATGGTTGACCTAAATTTGGATGTTTAATTTCGAGTTGGAAAGGATGCCAGGGAATTAGAACAGGGCAGATGGGTTAAGCCGCATCAACTGGGACGGGTCGGACCAGGAATCAATAGAAGACACCCCGCCAGTTGATGGGTTTTTGGATCAAGAGGAGGACGTCCGCCTTCACATAAATGAATGGTCCCTGCGAGTGCCCAGTTGCTTCTGTCACCCCATATGGCTAGCGCCAAAGGGGAACGAGCAAAGGGAGGAGTTGGTCCTCAAGCCCTTCTAGGAAGAGGATCCGTGGGGAGGCAAGGATGTCAGCTGGATGATGAAGTTGGCATTGGCAGGGAGGCACAGTCTGGTGGAGGAAGTGAGGACGATAGAGGAAGGCCCCACTCAGGTAGAGGAGCATGAACAGCTAATGGGAGGGATGTATCTGCTCACTAATACGCTCCTACAAGGAGACTCCAACCGGAGAGGCTCGTTCAGTCATGAGGAAAGTGAAAATCTAGTTCCTGAAAGTCAGGACGACGAATTCGAAGAGGGAGAGATCAAGGAGGCGTTTTGGGCGGAGGAGTATGATGGAATCTACCCGGAGTTGGGGTTGCTCCTATAATGTGAGATGAGGGATAAAGACGCAAGTGCCAAAGCGCAGAAGACGAGGCACCTCTACATAGTAAGAGATGGTCATCTGTTTATAAAGCGGCAAGTCGGAAATCCCAAAAGGATTGTGTGTGGGAGAAACCGGCAAATTGATATTATAGCGGCCCTACATGATGGTATAGCAGGAGGGCATAGAGGGATAGGTGCCACGTGCGAGAAGGTAGGCGACCATTGGGATGAGATGCTGACTATGGTCATCAAGTATTGCCAGTCTTGTGTACCTTGCCAGGAGAGGTCAGCGCAAAGGCCTGGGGAGCCCCTACACCCAAGGTTGGAGAGGGAAGTGGGTGCGGTCGTACACCTGGACCTGTTATTCATGCCAGCAGGGGAGAATGGGTGTAACTATATCTTCGATGCACGAGATAACCTTACTGGGTTTGTGGACGGTCGAGCTATCCGAACGAAAACTGGCCCAGTTTTGGCAAATTGCATCGAGGAGTACTACCTGCGCTATCCTTCTATCAAGGAGTTCGTGATGGATCGAGGATCAGAGTTTACCTGCAATGAGGTGCGAACTTTGCTTGCAGGGTATGGTGTAGTGGCTAACTATACTACGGTCGTGCATCCTCAAGCGAATGCACCCGTGGAGAGGGGGCACAGTACCATCACGGATCTCTTGGCTAAATGGACAGAGGGCAAGCATGGTCAGTAGTCGAAGTTCTTACAAGCGGCTTTCTTCGTGGAGAATGTTACTGTGAAGAGGACTACCAAGTATGCGTCAGCCACGCTATGGTACGGGAGGCACGCCACCTTTCCCATAGAAAGCTTTATGAAGACGTGGAGACGCCAGGACTTGGAGGTGAACCTATCCTTCGAAGAGCTGCTCAATATTCGGGCGCGGCAAGTGGAGGCGGCCGAGGAAAGATTGCGAAAGGCCGCTGGTCAGGTAGAGAGGAGCCGCATGGAAGATGAGATGAGGTGGGACCAGATGGCGCGAGTAAGGAAGGAGTCGTTGGCAGTGGGGGATGTTGTGTTACTGTACGACTTCTCTCTGGAGAAGCAATGGTCGAGGAAGCTTGACAAGAGATGGATGGACCCCTATAGAATCTTGCGATGTGGCGAATTTGGGGTCTATCAGATCGAGGAGCTGGACGGGACAGGCTGGCAAGATTGGGTGTCGGGGACCAGGTTGAAGAAGTTCGTGGTCAGGGAATAGGTAAAGATCACCACACCCTTCAGAATGAACTAGTCCTTGAGGTGTTGCATGTTATGGTCAGGTCAGGTGGGGGAGTAGGAAAGAGCATGTGTGTTATCATAAAGTTTGATGGACTGATGGCTAACCTTGTTTTGTGCCTGCTTGCCTTCTCTCGCCTGTTGTGCAGGTCTGACTTTTCGAAGACAGCCATGCAGAGGGGCGGGAGGAGCGCGCGGCCACGACAGAGGCCTCAGGGAGCATTAGGAGGGGATGACTCGCGCAGACCGTTTGGGAGGGAGTCTACGCCTATCTTCAACGATGATAATATAGAGCTCTTTCTGGACTCCTACCAGGCACATGCGGCACGGGAGGGCTGGTCTACCTTGGAGAGGATACGGCATCGAGGCTTTGACCTGGCGCTTTGAGGAGGATTGGGCGCTTTGAGGAGCCTATCGCCCATATTCGAGAGGAGGCTTTGACCTGGCGGGATGTAGAGGCGAGTATGCAGACGCTGAGGGCTTCGCCGTTGGGACGAGATGGGTTGCCTATTCGATTGGAGGAAGGCAATGTGGAGGAGTTCATCCCGGCCTATGAGCAGTATATGCACGATCAGGGGACAAGGCAGGAGGAGTGGATGCAGACATTGCCCCTCTGGACACGGAGCGCGGAGCGGCCACTAGCAAGGCAGATTCGGGACAGGGCGCGCGATTGGGAGGACTGTCAGGCTCAGTTGAGACAGGCATTTCGACGACTGGAGCCCGAGAGACCAGAGACCAGGGTGGAGAGACGACAGAGGAGCAAGAGGCCACGGGATCCGGAGGCAAGAGGAGCTACTACGACCAGGGGAGGACGGAAGGCCTTGGCACAGCGAGAGGAGCCAGTGGGACCCGCCCAGGCGGCGGAGCCAGTTCAGGTCGCAGGGCCGGCTCAGGTAGCGGAGCTACCCGCTACCCATGCACTTGAGCAGGTGGAGTTTCGCCGGATCACAGGCAGTGACCTACGGGACCCGTCACCGACCCTGCCAGAGGAAGGGGAAGCTGTACCGTTGAGGATGCCGCTCGACAGCCTGGAGGCCCATCTCGATGCATCCCAGTGGAGGACGTCGCAGCTAGGAGCGGGTCAGAGCGGACCAGCGTGGTACGAGCCAGCAGAGGATGAGACAGAGGCGGAGCCGCGTGGGTCAAAGGAGCCGCGGGCTGAGGGGGTTATTACTGTTGGGGACGATACCCCTCCTCCTATTCCGATTCCGAAGCAGGCGCGACCATATTGGCCTAAGGGGATTCCAGAGCCGGACAGTGAGGAGATGTCAGTACCTCCATCGGAAGCTACTACGCCACCTCCGACGCAGGCGGGGCCAGAAGAGAGCGAGAGGGTGAGGACATCTGCTACCGTGGCACCACAGCTAGCTGAGCATGCAGCTGAGCCCCTAGACACTGAGATGCCAGCATCCGAGGGGCCACCGCCAGGGTTGCCACACGTAGAGGAAGGGGTGAATGCAGGAGCTCCATCATGAGATGCCCGCGGGACACAAGCGGAGAGGCCACCACGAGAGATGGCGGAGGAGAAGTTTGCAAGAGTGCAGGTGCGTCTCGAGGAGATATACCAGGAGAAGGTTAGAATGGAGGTCGCAGGGGAAGCGCCAAAGCCACCAATCGACCCTCCGACGAGCGAGCAAAGGATTGATGAGATTTGGGCCAGTTATGAGGGTAAGAGGGATGCTGCCCGCTTGAGATCGCGAGAGGCGGGGCAGGAGGACGGAAGGGTGGATGAGGCGCGAGAGACCGGGGACCTGGGGTTCTCAGCCACCAGGATGGCGATCGAGCGCGCAGATAGGAGGATACGCGAGGTGGCGGTCACGTCCTTCCAACGGTACTCCATGCTAAGTGATGAGTTGGCGGCCTCAAGGTTAGAGGTGGCGCAGTTGTCCACCCAGCTGGCGGAAGAGAGGGCAGAAAACCAAGCGTGGAGGGCCCGCATGGAAGCCAAGGAGGCGGAATGGGAGAAGAGGTTCCAGGACATGGCAGCGATGGTGGAGAGGCTCTCAGCCACTAAGGTGGTCGATTGGACGGAGCAGAGCCGGTATGGTATCCAGGGGAAGGAGGTACAGGGGCTTTTTGGCCAGGAAGGGACGACAGAGCCACCTCAGCAAGGGGGAATGGGGAAGGTATTCCTGGATCCAACAGAGGTGGCAGCGAGGCGGGAGGCCGAAGAGGGGAGGTTCAACTTCAGGACTCCCACGGAGCTGGCCTCGCAACAGGCCACCCCTATGACGATTGAGATCTCTGAAGGCGAGCCGGCGCAGATACCCCGACCTCCAGTGGCGGAAGGAGGCCCCACGGAGAAGTCCCCTACGATCCTTTTGGAGGTGCAGGGGGGCACCCTCACAGGGGCAGCAGTGTCTGCGGAGCCTGAGGTGAGGGAGGGGGAGGCATCTTGTTTGGATGAGTTAGTGGCAGCTATGGAGCTGGAGATGCCATCAGGAGAGCCTCAGAGACAGGAGACCCCGGAGCGTGTGCCAGAGATGGGGGAGCTGAGGACGCAGTTAGGCTCTTGGGCTACTGGAGCTGACTCAGGAGAGCACATCTCCGAGCAGCATCAGGAGGTTATGAGCGAGTCAGCGACTGTCGTGATTCCCCAGCCTTATGACCTGCATAGGGACGAGGGGGCGACTGTGATGGGAGGGGTCGGCGAGGGTAGGCCACAGAGGTTGGATACTCCGGCGTACCAGCCTGAGGGAGGCGAGACGCGGGCAGGGCCGAACACCCCAATGTTGAAGGTGAGACCGGCAGAATCATGGAGTATGCCCCAGATCCACGAGATGAGCAGGGAGGCTAGCGAGACGCCGTCGTTGTCAAAATCCCAGAAGAAGAAGGGAAGGCGTCAGAGGAGGTCAGACGAACAGTGCTTCTTCTGCAAGCATGGCGTACATAGAGCCCTTGAGTGTTCAAAGTTCCTCAAAGACAAAGCCGTTGGGAAAGTGACAGAGGGTGGTGGGAGGATGTACGACAGACAGGGGCGAGTGGTAGAGCGGGCTCCAGATGGGGGTAGGGCACAGTTGTATAGGCAGAACCAGGAGGTTATGAGTGAGTAGGGGCTGGTCTGTCTATATGATAGTAGGATTAGAGTTCCACTATACGCAGAGGTCGGGTTAGGGATGTACATACTCTGAGTCGGTTGAGTGGATTCTAGGGGTGTGCACGTTTGAGTCCGCCGAGAGAGTCCTGTCTAGTTGTACATACATAGGTGGAGGACTTACCGAAATTGTGGGAATACAGAACTGGTGATATGGGATGGGGCGTAAGCCGAGCTGCGGTGTACGTGGGCTGGCGTGATGGCGGAGGTGGGTAGCCAGGAGGGGCAGTGGTGTCGAGAGTGTGTAGCGAACTGTGCACCTGGCCTCGTTCAGCAACAAAACTTAGGCAACGTTGCTCTCTCTATCAGCAAACGAGGGTGCAGTCAATTACGATCCGCTACTATCTGTTGTAGACCGCGGCGTTCCTCGTTACCAAGGACGTCCAACACTGCTGCGTCCCTTGTAATCGTCCACTGGGCATAGACAGCTACTAACTGCAGTTGACTGGCTACGAGCTGTCTTCAAGTTACCTCGCTGCGGTGTTTGGGGTTGGAAAGGAGTACATGGTTGTGCTGGGCTAGTGAAGCTGCTGCGGTAGCACTAACTGCCGCTGCTGTGGGGGGCGCTACACTAGCTGCTGCTGATCCTGTTGACTGTGCGTAAGCTGCGGCTAACTATGTTAACAATGTTGTGTATTGCTGTTGGCCGCCCGAACTGTGGATGCGTCTGCGGACTGAGCACGAATTGCTGCATGCGCGCTGCACACTAGCCACTGCCTATTTGGTTGCTGCACTCTGTTGTACGCTGTTGTTAGCTATTGCCAATTATTACGGCCGGCTATACAACGCCAGTAGATGAAGGAAAGGATTAGGGCTCGAGAAGGGAGACTAGTATGGTGGTGTGGGAGTTCATCAGGGAAGTGATTTTGGCGGCATGACTAAGAGTTGAACAAACTCTTGCATCGACTGTCATTGCAGAGCCCTCTGGCGCTTCAAGGTATCAAGGCCCTCTCCTGCGAGTCTGAGAGCACCCCTCTTGTATCTGAGAGTTTCAAACTATCTGTTTCTGCCCTTCTTACTCTAAATCTAGTTCCTTGGTTCTGAGAGGAAGGCGGCAGGCGGGATCACAACCCGTAATCCGCGTCAAGGCCTCTGTGGGAGGTTTGCCCCACCGATTGCGGGAGCTCTGCCGGAGCCTAGGCGAGGCTCTGGAGGCAGGGAATTGGAAGGTAATCATTGCTCCCCCTCTATATGCCCTGGTATAACCCCTACTTGTACGTCTTGCTACGTTTGACTGAGTATATTGTATGCACCCCTACTTTGACTTTGGTTCGATTGACAGGATATAACTCAGATTAAGTAAAGGGAATGTATGAGGAATCTCAGTTTCAGTTTTTGATTGCCTGAAAGCAGACTTGCTCAAAAAAAGGGGGGTTGCATCTGGGGGAAGGGTGGGTGAAAGGCGATTTTGCTTGAGCTTGGTAGGGTCCTATGGGGTCAAGCATGTTCCATAAGATTGGATGGTCTGACCGCTGTGTTTTATTCTTTGAGCTGCATTGAGAATCAGACAAGTTCCATAAGATTGGATGGTCTGATTGCTCTGAACTGTGAGGGCTTGACTGTGGTTAACGTTTCAGGAGCCAAGCCTGTACCATAAGATTGGAGGGCTTGGTCGCCATGTTTTAGTTGGGGTTTGTTCTGTTTCATTTGTTTCTGAGCGAGGGGGTCTGAGCAAGTCCATAAGATTGGGCGGCCCAACCCCTTCCTATTTTATTCTGAGGGGGTAATCCTCGCTGAGGGCGAAGCATGTCCATAAGATTGGACGGCTTTGGACTCATGCTGCACACAGTTGGATCAGAGAGAAACGAACCTGGCAGAGGACCGGATATGTTCCATAAGATTGGATGGTCTGGCCCAATGCCCCGCACATGCTGGAACCCAAAAGGTTAAAATTTGGCTGTACTTTATATTATTATATCTATGAACAGGCTAGTCAGGCACGGGTTCCATAAGATTGGATGGTCTGGCTATAGCTTATCATGAAATGAAGAGAGGATAACTAAGAGTATAACTGAAGGTAACCTTAAGATGAACGGCTCAGTCCTGCGACCAGCGTTTGAATACTAAGTTTAGAGAGGTATATATAATCTGGATATTAAACAATTCAGGGCGACTAAGCCTTGCTTCTGAGATGAACGGCTTAGTCATATGCCCAAAAGAAGAGAGAAATAGTTGTGCAACCTGTTCGTGTATACTTGATGGATGAGTCAGGCATGTTCCATAAGATTGGATGGCCTGACTTTACGCCTTATGTAAGTTGGGTATAAATGGGTAACTTACTGAGAAGACACGAACTATTATTTGCTAAGTTGATTTGGGGCTGGTGAGAGTACTTACCTTTGTGGTTTGGCATTGCGTGTGACTGAGCAAGATTACTACTTGATTTGAGTTTCAGGCTGACAGGTCGTTGCTTTAGAGGCTCGCTACGTGCTAGAGCGATAGGAGTTAGGTCGATCTTTGTATTTTTTTAGTTGACCTTACTCTACTTAGATCAATTATCGCATTTTCTGAGATTTTTTGTTATACTTGGCTTTGTATAAATTTTGGTAAGCTACTTTCTCTACGGAAAGTGCTGCCGAAATTTCTGCAAATCCGAGGAGTGAGTCAAATTTTGACTTTTCAAAGTTCAGTCTGTCTAAAGTTCATACACGACTTAGTAAAAATCTCAAAAGTTTCCTCTTCTAAAGGGAGTGCTGCCCAAATTTTTGCTAAATCAGGGAGTTAGACAAAATTGGACTTTGGAAAGTCAAAGACTATTTCTGGTTTTATGTTCGGGCTAATATAAATTCTGAAAAGGCACTTTTCCCACGGGAAGCGCCGCCGAAATTTTCTTGATTTAGAGGAGATAGATTATATTTTGACAGGTGGCGATTCTGGCGATCCACCCTGAATAGGGGAGATTCTGCCATTAGCCTACCTTTGTTTTGGGCGCTGGTGTAGAGGTAGGCTTAGACTTAGTTGGCACATAACTGTGAGTGAGAATGTGCTATGGAGATTCATCCTCCATGTGCTGATGATCTAGCTAGGCATCGACCTGTCTTATGACACAGGCCTTTCTCGGACGTTGATTCAGGACTTGGACTAATTCAACTCGATCCTATAAGGATCGTCTGCTGTTATCACTGATAACAGGTCGGTCGTCGATTCGTCGGTCTACGGCTCAATTCCAACTCACTATCCATACCCAACCTAAAAGGCTTTAGCCCTAGTGACTTTATTATTTGTTGAGGGTTTTGCCCGGACTTTTATTGAATGGCCATTTAACAAAGGTACAGAGTATTTAATTATGGTTGGTTGGACAGGAGATTGGGGCTTGCATGGCTAAAGCGAAGGGTATGAGTGTGGGGATTGGTTGGGGTCCGTGTAGTGCGTGGTTTGTTGTTCGATTCTCTGATGTGATTGCAAGTAGGTCCTGTGGTTCGGATTTTGGATGGATTGTCTGCAATCCCATATATATGTACATATGGTCGTGAGGAGTCCCACTGTGCCTGTGAGAAGTGATCGTCGCAACTCTATCTCCTTTATGTGGGTATGCTTGGGTGTATTTACGGTGGGTGTTCGCGAGGCCCAGGGGGGGGGCGTACTAAAGGCATACTCATAGGGTAAGACCGAGATGAGCACAAGGAAAGCTTCCCTTTTAGTCCTGCTGCTCCTTGGGGGCTTTCTTAGTCGGATGTTGGTCCTGGGTTGGGATTCAAGGTCCTTGTCCAGGACATTCCAAGCCCTAGGCCCTGCAGGGGAGAGACTCCCCCTCACGCAGAGCCTATTTGCGCTGCCCGTCGAGACACCCAACCCTGAAGGCGGGGATGTCGCGAGGGCCGAACAGCCGTTCAATATCGTGAGGGGTAACCCCTCGCGATATATTCCTTCAGCCATTCAATATCCCATAGGCCGGAGTCGCGAGTACCGCGTACGATTGGCATCGGTGGTTGGTATAGGATTGGCCTGCGGCCGCGCGGCTTCATGTAAAAATCCTGCGCGCGATGCTTCGCCGTCCCAGCGTCTAAAAGTTATGGGATCGCGAGGCTCGCACGTAGACGCAAACGTTTGGGATTATTGTAGGTCGCGGGCACCACCCCGAGGAAAGGGGGGGGTATCCTAAAGATCGTGACCCCTTCTGGAACAAAAGAATCCTCGGCCTATTCGTTTTTGCTTTTTAAGAGTTTTCATGGTTGGACGTTATAGTCCGTGGCAGCCGTCAAAGTCAAACCCCTTGACCTTTGCCCAAGCCTGGAGTAGGGCTTACCTCCAGGGCCGCAAGAAACGACTGTCACCACAGGTATGAACCTGTGTACCACCCGCTCTGCATAAGGTGCAGAAGAGGGTGTGTGGTCTCCAACCGCGCATGGCGGTTGTCCAGCGTCGAGAGATTAACCCTCTAGGTGCGTGTCAGCCGACACTTGAGTGTCGAACGCGACCCTCGAGGTTAACGAGGACCGCGCGAGTATGGGTACTACATAGTACGCCATCATTGCGACTGCTTGCGTACGTTTGCATTGCGAGTCGATATGAATTAGCCCTGCGTCCGCACGGTTTTATATCAAGGCTCGCGTGCGACGCCCATCCGATTTCCGCATCGGAAAGTTATGGGATGGTTACCGAGGGCTAGGAGCGTTGTCGCGTTGTTTGTGTTGTGTCGTTTCGTGTATATGTATGTGCGTTCTTTTGTGCGTTCGTAGAGTGGTGTGCGCATGGTGTGTGGGATGCGTCCTAGTCGACTGACGACGAGCCACGCTTGGGACTTCAGCCCCCCCCAGATGTCGGTTCGCATGCGGGTCCGATAGGCGTATTACCGCGCGTGCCCCCTATGCTACAGCGAACGAGAAACGCCCTCGGTTGACCCACCTCTGCGATTGCAACCAAGTAGCTTTCGTACTGTGGACTGGTAGCTCGGCGGGGATATGCCCACCGAAGGGAGGTGACAGTTCCCGTAAGGTGGAGGTAAGATGTGCCTCGCGTAGGCCCTATCCTATCGTAGGGGCTCGCGAGAGGTATGGCTGGCGCACTCTGCCGGAGCAGCCTAAGGAAGCTTCATTTTGCGTGTTCGTGTCGAGGTTGGTCCAACTCCTGCGTGACGTGGCCGAGAGGGTCCCGCGCTGCCATGTGCGGTGCCGAACCGATGCGCTCGCTATGTAGACCCCCTCTATGGCATGTATACAACGTTTCCTCCATAGAGTCCATATGACCGCTCTCCTCCCTATTTTAAACATGTTATTTTCAAAAGTGTTGTCCGTGATGGAGGTTCATGTCTCGCATAATATGACCTCCCAATCTCCGGGCCACTTTGATCCAGTG